GGCTCCAAGGAGAGTTGGGGGCTGTGACATGCCTATGGTCCCCATCTGTGTCCCTTGGCCTGCTTCAGCAGCCGGGACTTGTGGGAGAGTTAAATTGGGGGGAGACTCCTGTGGCTTGAGGCCTAGACGAGGCAAGATGGGGGCTGGGCTGTCCAGAGTCCCAGGGGGCCTGTCACAACCTCAGCAAAAGCAAAGGGGACTGACCCAGGGGAGTAGAACAGATCCCCCCCTCCACCTCTCCCAGTTGTCATGTCTGCCTGTCAGATCACAGCCTCTGGGCTAGACCAGAGCTCTCCGGACAGACTCCTGAAGTGCCCAGGGGCTGGTGGGAGCAAGGGCAGGGGAAGCACCCCTTTTCCATCCCCACCCAGTTCCCCATCCTGCCTCGGAGCCCATGCCGCAGGCCAGAGTCCTGGTAGCCGACTGCCTGTCCTGAGGATGGAGCAGAGCTGAGGAGACACACACAAGACACAAACAGAAGGCAAGGCACCCAGGACATGTCCACAATGCCACCCAGGGACCATGGCAAGCTGACCTGTGCCTCAGACACACACCGGCCTGGCCCCAGCCCGCACCAACCCCTTGCTCATGAATACGCACACATGCTGACACACACACACACTCACACTCCTGCTCAACAGCCACAGCTTCGCTCACAGGCAGCTGCCCTCTCTCTGCCCCGAGCCCCTTACCTGGGCAAGCACAGTGCCCCTCAGGCGGAGCAGCCCCCTGCCCCGGGGTGGGCAGCAGGCAGGGCGGGGGAAGGAGCCCCGGAGAGTCAGGCCAAGCTGCCACTAATCCGGGCGGGGAGAGGGGGGGCACCCACGTCAGAGCGGGGACTGCCGGGTGGAGGGCATCTGAGGACATCCCCTCCCACACACGCGGCCGTCTGGGCACCTAGCCCTGCTTCCCCAGCCCCTCCATCCTTCAGACAGCAGAGGCTGGCCTCCCCCACCCTACCCCCACCCCCGTGAGGATGCCGGGGGCGGGGGCCGGGGGGCACGGGGAATACCGGGCAAATTCTCCCAGGACCTAGGGGGAAGGCACGGGGAAGGGAAGTGTGGAGATGCTTCTGGAGCCAGGAGGAAGCTTGGTGGCAGATGCTCCCCTTTCCTCTCACCCACCCACCCACATCCTTGACCTAATTCCTCTTCTGAGGCCCTCTTCTCCCCCCACCCCCCTCCCTGCACTCACCCCCACTAGCTAGCTCAGGACCTTCATGCCCAGCAGCCTCGGCTCTTGCCCCAGATCTCCCCCCCCCCCCCCCCCCCCCCGCCCCCAGCAGTAGGGACCGGCTTCCTGACCTGGGCTTTAGTCTCCTTCTGTTGGACCTCCCCAGCCCCGCTCAGTCCCTGATGCTGGGTGGGGGATGGGCACAAGAGCCTGAGCATTAATCCTTTCCAGGAGGGACAGTGCCCTTCAAGACCACTCTCAGCCTGGGCCAGGGCTATATTGAATCTAGAGATCTGGAGGCTTCCACTAGAAATCAGCCATGGGCTGTGTGTGTGTGACATGGGGTGGGGGGAGAGGATTGAGGGAGGGGAGTTAAGAAACCAGGACCTGAAGACCAGAGGGACCAAAAAGGCAAGGAGCTAGAGGAGTCACCTGGAAGAGCCTGGGGATGGCATGGCGGGAGGCAGGATGGAAGGAGGGCCAGCTGCTCCTGGAACTAGGAGAATAGAGGGACCCCTGGAGGGGCTGAGGGGAGGCTAAAAGGTACAAGTGTGGCCGGTGGCAGGCCCCAAGGCAGGTATGTGCTTCTCGGGGCTGGCAGTGGTGACTGCAGCTCCTCTCCCAGCAACCATCCCAAGAAGGTAGGTCGGAGAACCAGCCAGATAGGCTAAAGGATGGGCCCCGGACCCCGTGCAGAGTGTGGCAGTGCCAGGAAGAGGGCAGTTGTCATAAAGATGGGGCAGTTCTGAGGGAAGTTCACCTGACATCCGGTGCCTCAAGCAACAGGATCAGGGAGAAGCTTGGCCGGAAATGCCCTTGGACTTCCCCTCACTCCTACCGCTTAGCACTTGGATGACTGAAGTCAGCCATTCATCGATGCTTTACCACAAAGACACGGACAGTGGGAAGGCTCTGTGGTAAGGCTGTGGAGACGCAGGACCCAAAGCTCAAAGCCATCCCTGCCCTGGAGGAGCTTCGGTCACACCATGCATTCGTTTTAGCCCAAATCCTCCTTCAGGCCTTATAGGTGTCAGGCTCTGTGCTGAGGAACATGGACGTGTTTACAAATGATTACTCAACTCTAATAGTCCTACCCTGGGAAATCAGGGGGCTTCACTGAGGTGACACTTGAACTCAGACATCAGATGACAAACTTCATCACTGAATCACATACTTAGAAAAAGATGGCAGTTTGGTTAAATGACTTGTTGGGAGCTGGGTTACAACAGGAAGGTAAGTGCGGATAGTGAAAACAGAAGTCACTGTAAGGACAGAGATGCAACATCTGCTAAGCCAGGGATGGTGGCATAGTCCTGTAATCCCAGCATTCCAGAAGGCTGAGGAAGGAAGATCAAAAGTTCAAGCCCAATCTGGTCTACATGTACCCTTGAGAGTAGCCTGGGCTACATAGAGAGACTCTGCTAACACAAACAACAACAACAACAAAAACAACCAGAAGGGAGAGTGATAGAGGGGATAAAGTTGCTGGGATACATTGTATGCATGTGTGTGTGTGTGTGTGCCAGTCTTGCGGCTTGAACTCAGCCTAGTTGCTGACCTGAGCTTTTTTGCTAAAGGTTAGTGCTCTACCACTTAAGCCACAGCTCCACTTCCAGCTTTTTGGTGGTTAATTGGAGCTAAGTGTCTCACAGCCTTTCCTGCCCAGGCTGGCCTCAAACCATGATCCTCAGATCTAGCTAGGATTACAGGTGTATGCCATTGGCACCTAGCTTGAAACTCCCCTTCTACAACTAACATATACTAGTAAAAACAAACACACAAGAAGAGAGCTGGCAAGAACTACAGAGCAGCAACTGGGCCAGGCCAGGGGTATGGCTGCAGCAGGCTTTCCTGGACACGATGTCCGAGCGGGGTTCAAAGCACAAACAGGAAGTGGGCAAGTGGGGAGAGGAGGGAAGAGCATGGCAGGGGACAGCAAGCGTGATTCGTGGCTGCACAGAGGCTGGGGCCATGGAGAACCCAGTGTTACCATCCCATCCCCAGTCTGTGAGATCCTCCACATCCGGCATCTGCAGCCCCCGCCCCAGCTCTCCCTACTCTCCAACTTGGCTGTCCTTTGCCCTTTCATCATGCATTCTTCCATTTTGTTCCTTTAAGTCTCTTCTGCATCTAAGAAGGCAACTCTCGGGCAGACTGATGCAGGAGGCAGTCCCAGCTGGCAGGCAGCACTGGGGGGGGGGAGTGGGGGGGAACTACAGCTCTTAAGCCTCTGCTTTTCATCTGGAAGGTGGCCAGAGCTCCTACCTGACTGGATGGACATTTGGGAGGAGTCAAGGTCAGACTCTAAGCAAATGCTTCAAACCTGTCACTCTCCTCCTTGTCACCCAGGCAAGAAAGAGCGCATTTAGTTGTGTAGAGCATAGTGATTAAGTACACACCGACCCTGGAGCCAGACTGCCTGGTCTAAAGCCCAATTCTGCTACCTATGGGCTATGTAACCTTGGACAAATCCTATGCCTTCTCTGTGCCTGATTTTCTGTGAAACCGAGATTGAAATAATAGTTCCGGCTCCTGAGATGATTGGGAAGATGAAACTCCTATATGCCAGGGGCTCAGATATGGTACTGGATGGCAGCCACAGCCTAGGTGCCAGCCACTACTAGTCTTTGCACATCTGGTTCCTGCAGATGTTTTTGAATGGACTAATAAGGACAGAGGGCACCATGATACAAGGCAATGCCATATAGGAAGCCACTGAGCACTAATGTGAGGACATAATCACCCCAGCAGATTAAGTGCCTTCCCCCAAATAAACCTCGGATAATCCCCACATCAAGAGTTAATCCTTGCTCTTTCTCTCTCCCAGGCCACTCAAGTCAGCCGCCCATTTCCCTTCTCAGCTAGCACATTCACCTCTTACAAGCAGGAAGGAAGAGCAGACTCGGGTAGGAAAGGGGAGCAGCCTGGGGCACTGTGTGTCACCAGCTACCCAGGGAGCAGAGGAGGGGAAGGAATGGAGCCAGCTCAGGCAAAGAGCCTGTGGATGGGGCAGGCCACGGATCAGAGACCACAAGCAGCAGGGAGAGCCACCAGAGGCCTTTCCAGAGTCCTGCATCATCCCTCCAGCCTTGCAGCCAGTAGCCAAGCCCCAGCAGGGCGAGGCTCTGGCCTGACTCCCAGCTCCACCCGCCTTGACCTGGAAGCTGGGGGCAGCCCAGCTCCTGGCACCTGCTGCCCTCTTGTGGCCAATCCTCAGAATACAAGCTCACCCTGATGGGACCAGAGTGTTTCCAGAAGCCAGTGTGACCAGCTACTTTATCCCCTCCTCAGGTCTACTTTGTGCTGTTTTCATGTCCTCAAATGCAGCCTGGCTCGAGCCCTTCCACACCTTTTCTCTCATTGGCTGTCTACAGTTACCCCTTCCTGACAGGTCCTAGCCTAGCTCCTGCTGACTTGGAGGTGGTGGTTGTGGGCTTGAACTTAGGGCTTGGGCATTGTCCCTGAGCTCCTTTGCTTAAGGCCAGTGCTCTACCACTTTGAGCCACAGCTCCACTTTCAGTTTTCTGGTGGTTAATTGGAGACAAGAGTGTCACAGACTTTTCTGCCTGGGCTGACTTTGAACCATGATCCTCAGATCTCAGCCTCCTGAGTAGCTGGGATGACAGGCGTGAGCCACCAGTGCCCAGCCATCCTGCTGTCTTTTGACTCTGAGACCCTCTATCTTTATTTTTAGCTCAATGGATGGGCATCTCCTTTAAGTAATCCTCAAGCAGTCTGCCCTTCCACCTGAGCCTCAGCCAACCCTGGCCTACAGTGTGCCGTTTGCTTCCGGTGTGTGATAGAGTGAGCAATGAGAGAAAGCAGAAGCAAACACCATTAGGGATTTATTTATCAAAATGTTCACAAGCCTGACCTCATTCATTAACACAAAACACACACCCAGACACGCACACCAGGCCTTAGAAAAGGCTGTCAAGTACTTTGAAGGGCAGGAGGGAATGGTCACAGCTGGGCAGACTTTTGGTTTCATGTGTAGGTATTCAGGGCCTCTGGACCCACATCTGGGAAGGCAGAGGGCTGAGGAAGGCAATAGATAGGACACTGGGCCTGGCCTGTTTTGATGCACTGTGGGTGCATCTCCACACAGGCCGGGCAGCAGCTATCTTGGTCCTTAAGTGGGAGTCGGGAGGGGGTGGAGCCTAGGCACCTGGTACAGGGAGGCCAAAGGTCTCCTGATGATTGTCACTGGCACCCTGCAGGCACAAGGTAAGAGAGCCTACTCTGCAGAACCTAGCTGTCCATGTCTGAGAGTATGGTCTTTTTCCGACTCCGAGCCTTCAGGGAGCGTGAGGTGCCCTGGGGGGGAGAGAGCAGGTATACTGTAAGTGATGAATGGTGTGCGCAGGCGCAATGGGCACAGCCCACCTCCTGCTGACCTCTCGTACTGGTGGCTTCCTCTTGACCACACGCAGGCTCTGGCTGCGGTTCAGGGGTTTCTCTCGGAGCCGGACGGGTGGCTGGGGGACTGCCTCAGTGTCTGACCAGCACCCGTCCTCTGTGTCACTGTCCTGCAGGCCCCCTGCCTGGTACCCTGTGAGGGCAGCCAGGGGAGGAAAGGTTGGTCATCTGCACAAGGCCCAGCCAGGCCTTCCTCCAGCCCTCTCAGGATGGCGTGGGCTTCCTCCGCCACTCACCAATGGGCGGCCTCCTGTGGGGCAACTGGTCTTCCAGATAGAGGGGGTCCTGGTAGGCAGGGGCAGAGGTGTCAGGGATGGAGCGCAGGTCTTGCATGGAGAAGCTCCGCAGCCTGCCAGCCAGGGCACCTTGACTCTGTAAAGGAGAGGAGACACTGCATAGAAGTCCAGGGCCAGCCTACAATGAATCACTGCGACACAGGACTCAACTGAAAGCAACCTGGCAGCCTTCCTCCCAGCCCCACAACCCTAACCACTAACAGAGCTAGACTGGGCCCCAAAGGTATTGAGAGGAGAGCAGGGGCTTCAGAGGACTGGGGACCGGAGCACCTTAGTGGCAGCCTGCACGGCAGCAGAGGCAGCAATGTTGAGGCCCCGCTTCCCAAAACTGAGCATCGTCTCGTAGCTGCGCTCCTTGGCCTGCACGATGTACATGTCAATTTCCTGCAAACATAAGGGCGGAGAGCTCAGGCTGACGCAGCCTGAAACCCGAGAAACCACTGGCTGTCACACCTCTTGCCCTACCCCACACCTAGTGCCTGAAGCCAGATATGGGCCCAGAAGACACACCAGAAGCAGGACTTTTCAATGGGCAGCCATGTTCCACTTCCCCATCCCCAAACCAGCTTCCAGTTGGCATGACATATATCTAAAAGTGATTCCCATGCACCCATGTCACCCCTGCCGGCCAGGATGGCAAAATCCTGTCAGGACCCCACGGCTGCAGAGCAGTAGGCCTGCCATGAGAGCTCAGGTGTCCCTGGCACCCTGATCCTACAGTGAGGGCTTGCCTCACACCCACCTCCACTCCCCTCTGACCTCCTCCCTCCCGGGCTACCTTCTCATGGCGGGACAGGGATGGGTGGACAAACTTCCGGTAGAGCAGGCTGGCCCCCTTGGTATAGGGTGAGAGAAGCCACAGCACAAAGGCCATCTTGATCTCATAATAGAAAGGGAACCTGTGGGAGCAGCGGGCAGGCGAAGGTGAGCGAGAAGGGCCAAGAGCGCAGCACCCCCGCCCCCCAGTTCACAGACACCCCTGGCCCACACCAGGAGATAAAGATGTCTGTGAAGGTCTCCGCAGCCATGAAGATCGCAAAGACGATCCAGTACATCATCCACCGAACCTGTGGGGCAGAGAGCACCGAGGTCAGCTCCAGAGTCCCAACACCCACCCCATTGCCCAACCCACAGATTCCAGAAAGCCTGTCTCACTGCATTGCTTCCTGCCCTAGGCCTGGCCAGACAGGAGGTTCTGAGAAACTGCAGCTTATTCCTGGGTACTTCACCCACAGGATTCTCCACAGGTGTGCCGATGGCCTGCCCTCCTCCCTGCCCCCACCCCCCATAAACAGAACCTGTTCTCTGTCACCAGCCACTGAGGATTTGCAACACCACCAAGCCTCGGGAGGAGGGAAGGTCAGCTCAGGTCCTTCCCCATCTCGCCAAGCCCTAGTACCCTCCCTAGGCTGTCATCGAACCCTGACTCAGGAAAGTCTCCTGCCCACAACCCACACTCACATATTCCCGAATGTTCTTGGTTTTCACAGCCTTGTAGGAAGCGTAAGCAGGATACAGCATCCCAAACAGCAGCCTGGAAGAGTTAAGCCAATGGGAAGGACTGTGAGGGGCACAGAGCCCCGCCTGCCCCCTCCTCCCCACCCCCACTACCAGGTAGCTGCCTTCCTCCCCACTGAGGGTACAGGGCAGTACCTGCCTTGTTTTCCCCCAGCTTGGCTTGCACAACCCGAGGTGCCTGAGTCAGTGCCCTGAAGGCCACCTCCCCACCCTGCTGTTTACAAACATCCCAGGCCTGCCCAGGCCTGCCCAGGTGGCCCATGGGAACACCACGGAGGGACCCCGCGGCTGTCCCCTCACAAGGAGGCCCAGGGCCCCCAGGCCGGACGCTGCCAGACTGCAAGGCAGGGATGTGTCGGCCAGGTGCAGGTGTACTCCAAAGTGAGGAGGAGGCCTGAGTGTGGAGGTTCAGGCCGGGGTGTGTGTGTGTCACGTGACTGCTTAGGTGCGACCCCGGGACCTGGACACTCTGCCCACGAGTTTGCCCAGGCAGTGGGCTGCAGACCGTCTGCAGAGCGCGCGTGTGCGCGTGTGTAAGTGGGAGTCGTCATCAGCCAGGGGCGGGGGGGGGGACAGCACGCGGCGCCCCCTCCCCTCCCCCCCCAGGCCGTTAACCCTTGCGGCGCGGGGGGATGGGGAGAGGCTCGGACAGTTGCGTTCCCCAACTCCCGCCCCCGGCGCATTATGGTGCCCGGGGCCGGGGGTCTGCGAGCGGCCATACTCACACCACCAGGCG